AAGAAAAGAAAAGAAAAGAAAAGATAGATATAGATATAGATATAGATATAGATATAGATATAGATATAGATATAGATATAGATATATTCCTGCAGGACAGCTGGTAGGATTCTTTGCATAGGGTAGCTGATGGTAGTGGGTCTGTGGGAAGGGAAGGAAGGGTCTGATGGTGCAGTCTTCTGAAATGATTGTCAATCTAACTTCCCCCATTTATCTTCAGGGAACCTTCCCTCTGGGCAGGCAGTAGTAATGACCGGGGAGGTGGGGGCTGAACAAAAGGGTTCAGCTAACCAAGCTGCTATGTTGGAGGTTACCTGCCTTATATGACCCTTATTTTTAAAAAACAACATTTTTAAAACATTTAAACGTGTATTAAACATAGTTTAATACCAATTTGACAAGCAGAACATGTGAAGACGGTTTGCTTGTCAAAATGATTGAACTATGATGCTGATGCTAATTTTGAAAACTCCTTTTAGTACCATGTGCTCATTTAATAAATCTGTAATTCAGCATGTACTGTATTGTACTTTCATCTATTCATATTTACCTTGGCATTTTGTGGCACATACCGAGGGACCAGTCGTGACAGCAGGGACCAGAGGGCAGGATTATCTGGGTTGCTTAGGTAAGAGACCACAGCGGAATTAAAATCACAATTTTCTACAGCAGTAGAATCTATTAACATGGACTGAAATTATAAAACATACTTTCTATGTAACAGTTTCTAACATAGCAACTTCTAACTTATGCTCACAGTCCTTTTAATAGAGTAAAAAGTAGCATCTGTGAAGATCTGTGATTTAAAAATAAATTAATTAGAACTAATTGAAAAAATAGTAAGCAGGTTAAATAGATTTAAATTTCAAAGTAATGCAGCAAGATCAAGTTCTTAAAAAAAGAAGGTAGCAAAACTGTACTTGACTTTAAAAAAATCTCTTTTCAGTTACAATTAGTGCTGAATAGCATACTTTGCATTTTTCAACTCTTCATGGTTCAATTCAAACTACACTCTAAACATTTTTTTTAAATAATGTGGAGCAAGTATCCTTTGCTAATCTGAAAACTGGACCATTACTCATATCTAATATCATCACTGAAGCACAACGGAGCCAGAAAATCTATGCTCAGTCCTGTTCTGAACTTTGTTGGGGCTTTAGTTAGGTTAGAAAGAGCTGACAGATAAAGTCTTTAACTGGTGAGCCTCCCAATTTTGAACCTTGCACCAATATCATTAGTAATTTAATTTGATGTAATATTGAGTATTGATATGACAAATCAGTTGCTTCTAAATTAATTTATGGATTATGACCACTCATTCAGTGACCATTCAAAGTTATGAGGGCACTGAAGGGGGACTTACGACCAGTCCACGAAGTTGCAGCTGTCGCAGCATTCCCATGGTCACGATCGCAACTTAGGCCTTTGGAAACCGGCTTGCAATTACAACAGTTGCAGCATCCCGCAGTCATGTGATCACCATTTGCAACCTTCCTTGCTGACTTGCAATTAAAACAGTTGCAGCATCCTATGTCACGTGATCACCATTTGCAACCTTCCCTGCTGCCTTCCCACAAGCAAAGTCAATGGGAAAGCTGGCAAGAGGTCACAAGTCACTCCTGCTCTCACTGATTTTTTGCCTACCTGTCCATGCTCTGTAGGGCTCACTCATGGCACCCGCCCACCCGCTTGCACTCCATAGTGCCCACCCGTGGCATCTCCTGCTCGCTCATGCTCAGTAGCGCCCACCCACCCATGCTGTGTACTGCCCACACATGGCATCTGGCCCCATGCCTGTAGCTCTCACCCACCAGTCTGCTTGCCTGGAACTCCTGCCTCTTCCCACATTGCGGTCATGTGAGGTCCTCGTTTAATGACCTGAATGGTCCTGGGGTTACGATGGCAACTGCATCGCTTAGCGACAGAAATTCCAGTCCCAATTGCCATCATAACCTGAGGATTACCTGTAAATGTTATTACATTTAACATAAATCACTTAACAGAGAAGTATGAGCAGGCAGAATTATGTTCAAACATGCTGAGTTATATTTTAAGTCAATATAATTGTCTGATCTTACATAAACTGAGAACATTCATTTTTTCCCCTAAATCATAGAATTAGTATGGAAAATATTTTGGCTTCATATTAGCTGAATAAGAATCCTATCTAATCCAGATAATCCTATTTGATGGAGAGTAGTCATATAATAACATCTGCTTTTACTCTGAAGATATATCAAACTGCAAATCTTCACATTACCTGTTCAGCTGTGTAAACCACCGGATGGCTTTTACAAGTAAAACTCAGAGGATTTCAATGTAGCACTTTTCTTTGGGAATGGGTGCTATGCAAAAGTAATATAGCTTGCTTTAGAAAATGAATTACATACCTGTGGACAGCTTTAGAAACTTGTCTCTGAACAGCCAGATTTCTGCCTTGTAATGCATAGACAGCAGATATAAGAAGGCACCTCTTATAAACATTATCTTTTTTTCCTGTGTGCTTTAATAGTTCTTTAAGTGCTGCTGTTGCAAGTGTAGAATCCTGCTTGATCAGCCCTAAACTGCATAAAGCTTGCAGACTTTCCATATTAGGTTCCTGTAATATAGAACTGTAAATGCAACACAGAAAAATTATTACTCTAAGGAGTATTACCTTAAGGTATAATATGAAGAATTTGTTGTATACTTGGCACAATACTTACAGTTCTAAATGCCATCTTATATCTGAAAAATGTTTATGCTTATAAAACATTGGAAAATGCTCTAGGGGGAAAAACTCATTCTACACGTAGAAGATCCCATATTCAGGCTTAATATTCTCAGCTGAAAGAAATCAGTCCCATCATCATTGTCAGCTGACTATAGAGATCTGCTGCCCGCTGGAGTAGACCCTTCTAAAGTTCTCTGACCAAGGGTCTGACTCAGTGAGAATAAGCTTCATGTTTATCCTTTGATTACAAAATAGCTGGATTTTTAGTCCTAACAAGCAATGCAGAGTGCACATTTACATTGGTGAATATGGCAATTACTGTTCTGTGAATCCTTTCATCAGTGACATTTATGATCCAGGACTTATTTATTTTATTCATTAAATTTATATGTTGCCCATCTCTCCCAGAGGGTGACTCTGGGTGGTTCACAATTAAAATCCAAAGTAGTAAAAACAATAAAAATATACATATCCATATTAAAAATCATTCTAAAAAAGACTATATACAATTCAAGATGATTGGGGGGAGCAGTATCGATTATCCCACCAGCCAATTCCAACAATGAGAGCCCCCATCTGGCCCCCAGGCATCTGGCATAGCCAAGTTTTCACACTTTTCCAGAAGGCCATGAAAGTGGGGTCGGACCACACCTCAGGTGATAAGCTGTTCCACAGGGTGGGGGCCACAGCAGAAAAGGCCCTCTTCCTAGACCTCGCCAGCCAAAGTTCCTTGACTGGTGAAGTCCACAACATGCCCTTCTGCTGGACCGAGTGGGGGCAGGCTGACAAAACGGGGGCGAGACAGCTCTTCAGATAACCTGGTCCTGTGCCATGAAGGATTTTACTTATAGAGTAGTCATATTCAAATCTAGGGTCATATATAGTCAAATAATTTCCTTCTGGGAAAGCCTCTTCCAAACAGAAATCATATGGAGCAGTTTCTTTCAGAAACCACTACCTGACATACCTGACTACAGAAGCTATAAAGCTCTCAAGATACAAAATTTTAAATTAACAAACGTCTGACTAATAGAAATTGGAGGCAGTAAAGGCATATTAATGGGTAATTTGGCAATAGTTGGGAATGCCGTTGCAATCTACTACTGCATTGAGGAATATCACCATTCATCAAAAAGTGAGATAATAATGAATTAATTGTTCTTGTGAATTACAAACCCAACTATATCCCAAGTTGTTTTTGTTTCTTTTCTTCTTTAAGGCAATAATATCATATATCCAAATTAAATTTATGCAAAAGATTGCAAATAGGGAACAAATTGGTACAATACATCTCAGCCCAAAGCCTGGTTTTGTTCATGCTCCTGTCAGCCTTTAAAAGAAATTTGATAGTGCTGTTGAGTCACTGGAGTTATGGAAGAAATGGCAGGTGCTGGGACTAACTCATGAATATTTCATTCTCAGCTACATTCACTATGGACTAAACTCTAAAGGACCAGAAGTTAGGCAGATAGCATTTTGACCCCATCCTTTTTTTCCTTTCTGTAAATGGGAAAACTAAAATATCCATCTTCTCAGCCCAATTTGGGATTTCCTTCTTATTTAACCCACAAACTCCTGTACCTCTGTATAACTGAGGATGCTCTTCAGTCTTTGCACCTTATTCTGAGGTCTTTCAAGTTTTCAGATATTCATAACCACTGACTCTGCTATTAAATAGAACACATGGAAGTTGCAGGAATGTAATTATAACCCTTGTAAAAAGGAGTTTCCTTCTTCAAAGCTACCCAAAATTCCCTCCAGGAAGAGCATTCAATTCCTGCCAAACTATAATTTTATATTTTGTGACTGCATTGTGTTATTCCTGAGGGGAGACATTTCCTGTTTATCTTTCTTTTTTTAAAATGTTTCTGCAGACCCCTGGATTCCTTCTAGTCAGCAATGATCCCATTTTGCCTACAGTCCTCTAAGCTTATTAAAAGGGATTAGGATGACTCTAAAATACTTTAATAGGTTTAGAGAAATACAGCTGTACTTACTCCTTACCATTTAAATAAGAGGGTCTTTGCAGCATCCATTCGATTTTGTTTATATTCTATTATTGCAAGGGCTGTTAATATATATGCTTTATCTTGCTCATACTCCGCAATAGCAAGTGCTTTCTCATAAGCTAGGAATAAAATTAGAAGTTCAAAACAACGGTAAGACAGCAACCTTAATCAAATACTTCTCTAGGAATAAACAAACACACACACACACATTCCTGAAAAGAACTCAGCTATGAATTTCTAAAAACAGCAAATACTGAATATTTAACTAATAAGAGACCAAGATATGTTGTGAAATTAAACATCTAGCTTGTTCTGACTAAAAAAAAATAAGGACCATATAAGCAGTCATTGTATTAATAGGTGGATTGTGTCAGGTGTCAGTGTAAAATGGCATAAAAATGCAATAAAAATTAAGGGGTAGAGAACTTTTTCAAGCAATGATTCAAAGGTTTTAAAGTGGAATATGATTTATGCTATGAGTAAAAAAAACATCTTGGAGGAAGGCAATGGCAAAACACTTTCCAAGAAAACTATGTGGGCATGTCCAGAAAGTCGTCGTGAATCAAGCTCCATTTGACAGAGACACATACATACAGATTTCAAGTTGGTATACAATTCTAAGCAATTCTGAATATTTATGTCAAACATAAAATATATGGAGCAGGGATGAGGTTGCCAGAAGGAGATTGCAATGGAGAAGACCAACCTAGTTTTATTTATCAAGGAGCTCACTTAATTTTTTCCCTGAGAATAGACAGCTAGGGATTATGGCTAGAGAACAGACCCTTGCATCCCATCTCCTCTCATTTTAGAAATTAAACAACTCTAGATGTTTGAGATGTAGCCACAATAAGGAAAAGCAAAGTTGCCGCATGCATAACTGTTATATGGTCTATAAAAATATATCACATAAAGTGGTTACTGTTTTATACAAACTTCAGTTTCATAACATCTTCACCCAAAGCCCATATAGACTGCATCACATTAATACCTTATGATGTTCTGTTCTGTCCACCACAAAAAATGTTCCTTCCAACTTCCCAACCCAGGAAGATGAAGCGTACATTTTCTGCTGCATTATTGCTTCAGATGTTGAAATAGGTAGGCTAAGGATTGCCACTGACAGAAATTAAGGCCAATCAGAGTTTATGGACCCACTTCAACAATCTCTCTCAGCACAATGAACAAGCATGGAACTAAACTGCAGCTCAGTCCTAGGAAACAAAGTTAATTTGGGCAAACCATATTTAGCTGCAGAGGTAACTCATATTGTCAATATGTTATTTTATGACTAAGTTGCAATTTGCAGGAAGATTTGATGAAATCAGTCTATAACTATTCTTTCTGGGGAATAAATACTTGTGATCTTGGTAAACAAGCATTAAGATCACAAATCATCAGAAAATATACAGTGGGGCAAAAAAGTATTTAGTCAGCCACCAATTGTGCAAGTTCTCCCACTTAAAAAGAGGAGAGAGGCCTGTAATTAGCAAGATGTCTGGCTCTCACAGACCTGTAACTACAGCAAGATGTCTGGCTCTCACAGACCTGTAACTACAGCAAGATGTCTGGCTCTCACAGACCTGTAACTACAGCAAGATGTCTGGCTCTCACAGACCTGTAACTACAGCAAGATGTCTGGCTCTCACAGACCTGTAACTACAGCAAGATGTCTGGCTCTCACAGACCTGTAACTACAGCAAGATGTCTGGCTCTCACAGACCTGTAACTACAGCAAGATGTCTGGCTCTCACAGACCTGTAACTACAGCAAGATGTCTGGCTCTCACAGACCTGTAACTACAGCAAGATGTCTGGCTCTCACAGACCTGTAACTACAGCAAGATGTCTGGCTCTCACAGACCTGTAACTACAGCAAGATGTCTGGCTCTCACAGACCTGTAACTACAGCAAGATGTCTGGCTCTCACAGACCTGTAACTACAGCAAGATGTCTGGCTCTCACAGACCTGTAACTACAGCAAGATGTCTGGCTCTCACAGACCTGTAACTACAGCAAGATGTCTGGCTCTCACAGACCTGTAACTACAGCAAGATGTCTGGCTCTCACAGACCTGTAACTACTTCTTTAAGAGGCTCCTCTGTCCTCCACTCGTTACCTGTAGTAATGGCACCTGTTTGACCTTGTTATCAGTATAAATTACAGGCCTCTCTCCTCTTTTTAAGTGGGAGAACTTGCACAATTGGTGGCTGACTAAATACTTTTTTGCCCCACTGTAAGTAGTGATTTTCACACAGATTCTTCAGAAGAGATATTGTACAACAGAAACACTTACCCTTCTGACTTTCTTGGAAATGTCCTTTCTTGAAGTAAGCCAGAGCAATTCCTACAATATCATCAAATTCTATCAAATGAGTCGCCAAATAAGCCTTGATGGCATCATCACACTGGCCAAGAGCACTTTTAAAAAGAAACAGAACTAAGTCCAATTAGAAGAAATAAATCACACACACACATTCAGACTAAAATTCAAAATTCTTGGGTGAAATTCTCCCCTAGTGGGTAGTGCCTGATAATTTAGCTATCAGGCAATGGTGTTACTTCTGAATGTGATTTAGATTATCTATAAATCACCTGCATTAATATTCTAAAACTTTGATTCAGAATTGAACTATTTGGCTATAAACATATCTGAAGGTAAAATTTAACTGAAAGAGTTTAACTTGTAACATCTCAGTGTGTTTGAATCTTAACAACTGCTTCTCCATTACATATTACAGGAACTGATCAAGAGCCAACAGTAGGGGATTCGTGCTTTGAGCCATCAACATTTATAAGGGGCATAGGGTAAGTGCTAATATCGTTAGATGGTGAGTGAGTGGAATTTTAAAGACCTTTTTTCTAATTTGGTGGCTTTTTTCTGTTTTTTAGTAAAATGAGCATTCCTGTTTTACTTCATATCTATACGAAAGGAAGGAAGGAAGGAAGGAAGGAAGGAAGGAAGGAAGGAAGGAAGGAAGGAAGGAGGAAGGAAGGAAGGAAGGAAGGAAGGAAGGAAGGAAGGAAGGAAGGAATGGTTTGCTGGCAAATTTTTGTGACATGATTTCAGGAAGCTCTGGGTTTGCAAAAGAGTGGTTGGAAGCTCACAAGTTGATTTCCCAATACTTTAAGAGGCATATTTTTCATTTAATACATACTTTCTAGGACTGAGAATCTTAATTTGATAAGAGTAACAATATATTTAGCTTACAACTTACCAGAGTGATCTTCCATAATTTCTCATTACTACATTATATCTCTCTCTATCATCAGAATTCGACAGCAATAGAACTGCCCTGAAAAAAAGTATCAGAAATAAGACTTCCAGACATTTCACCATCAGTAACATTCCTATAAAATGTGTGGGAGGTTCAAAATTCTATATTCTGATTTCAGAGAGACAATTATTTAGATTTAGTATCTAGAGCTTGATTGTTATTACTGTACTTGTTAAAGTCAATTTTAGGTGTATATGTCCTACAAAAAGGATAGACAAAGATGAGAAATAAGAGAATTTTAGAACCAGAAGGGCATGACCTGAGATTTGGTACAATAAAGTTAATGTAGCTTTTAAAAATCACTATATTAGAACTGCCATATTGAGAATACGGAATAGATATAAACCCAGATTATACCTAAAAATGCCTTTATGAGAACAAGAAGCATTTTATAGAAAACAAACAGCAGGCAAAGCAAGATGGTTAACCTATTGAGAGTTGTTACAACAAGAGCATGGAGAATATAAGATGAAATCAAGAGATCAGTTGACTGCAGAGGGATTTAGTTTTCAATGATTTTCATATATCCAGTTAAGAGAAAGATTTAAGGTAGATAACAAGACATTTGGAATTGAACCACACAAGACAAAATTTGAAATTGAACTATATACAAATGATGAACACGTAATTGCTAAAATGATAAAATGTGCTAAGAACTTTGGACATAATACTGGTAGTCCTTGACTTATGACCATTTGTTCAGCAACCATTTGAAGTTACGATGGTGCTGAATGAATGTTACAACTGGTCCTCAGAGTTACAGCGGTTCCAGCACACCCGTGGTCACGTGATCGCGATCTGGGCACTTGACAATCCATTTGCACTTATGATCAATGGCTAAGCACTCAGAGATCACATGATCGCCATTTGCAACCTTCCTTGCCGGCTTTCCCAGAAAGTCAAAGGGGAAGCCAGCAGGGAAGGTCAAAAGTTGCTGGGGAAAGTCTCCCCACCTACACACCCTCCCCCAGCCCCTCTGTGCTCACACGGTGCCAGCCACTCGTGCACTCCCACACCCCCTCTCCGACCCATGCGGTGCCTCTCACACACCATTACACACCATCCCCAACCTGTGTGGCACCTCTTGTGCACCCCCGCACACCCATCCTGACCCATGCGACTAGAGGACTACCTGTATACTGATGGAACAGTGGAAAAATATGTGGCTGAAAGGACTGAAATTTACATCATGTCATAATTAAAAAAGAGAACTTTTATAAAATGAGGTACTGTTGGTACGTGACTCCAGAAAAATTATTTAGAATGTATAAAGGTACTTCAAATTTACAGTATGTTGGAAATGTGGAAAACATGAAAGGTCACTTTATCATGCCTGGTGGACTTGCAAAAGAGCTAGAAAATTTTGGGTTCAAATACATACAGTGATACAAAGAATTTTAAAGATTATTATTCAATTGAAACCAGAATTCTTCTTGTTGGGATTAATGGATAGACAAGAGTTATGGAAGATTTTTTTTTATACATGATAACTGCTGTGAGATTATTATTATATGCACAAAAGTGGAAAGATTCTGAAATACCCACAATGAAGGTATGGCTGGTGAATATGACAAAATTAGGAGAGATGGCAAAATTGATTTGTTTGATTAGAGAAAGGACAATAACTACATTTATTAGTGACTGGAAACCCCTTATGGACTTTTTGCTGAAAAAAGAAAAAAAAATGAACTTGTGATTTTTAGTTTGATGGTTAGAAAGGGTAGGACTATGGAAAGAAGGAAATTGTGTTATAACCTTAGAGAGAGAGGGTAAAATATAAATGTAACGGATGTTAAGACGATAAGAAGCTGCTTCTTTATAACTTTTTCTTTCTCCTTTGTTTCTTTCTTTGCACTTTTTTTTTTACTTACTTATAACTTTCCTTTCCTTATTCTTCTCTTTCAAAATTGGAATGTTTTTAGTCTTTTAAAATTTCTTTAATAAAAATATAGGATTGACAAAGATATTGAGTAAAAAGTTTTGTCCAAAAAAAGAAAAGAAAAAAAATCCTCCTAGGAGATTTAACAAAAGCTTGAGCCCTCGTGTGAAGTATTTTAAAACTTATGCTTGGGACAGAAATATAGAAGTTACATGAGGAAGTTTAGCTAATAACTGTAGTTATTTTAATATTTTTCTACTTTTATTGTTACTGAACTTTCAAGATAGAATTTAATACCACAGGAAAAAATGTTTAATTTTAAGTATATTATTTTTACCAAACAGAAGCAATTGAACATGATCTGTATTGCCTTTCAACTCTTTAATTGAGTCTTCTACCGAAATATCTTTCCCTGACATATAAAAAAGTATGGAGACCTACAGTATGTGGAATTCTGTTGTTCAGATGGCTATTACATTACTACTAGGTCAAATCAATGAAAATTATTTTAATACGCTTCTGATATGTATGTTATACTAGTGTGAGTGGTACTGGGGAAGACACTGGACTCAAGTTGCCACTGATATTTCAAAATGTGCTATTTAAGAAGGTTACCTTTGGTATGCATCTGTTGCCTGTTTTTTCAGCTGAAGATATTCATTCAAATAACCAAGCATTGTGAAAGCACATGCATCATTTTGGATTCTTTCTGGAAAAAAAGTGCAAAATGAAAAAAAGAAAATAGGAGAGCATAATAAAGAAATCTAAAGTTTAGATTCCAAAACATGTCTCTAGAACCATTTACAGAAGTGGAGGGAAATATTTCAGATAAACTATACTTATTCTGTCATCTCCGGGTGTAAGGTACAAACAATAAGTGGTCATCTCATATACAATTACCTTCAAGAGGGAACATTTGAACCTTATTCTACACGTTACCCTTTGCCACAGAGCAGTTAGTGTCCCAGCTTGCTCTTCCAGCCCATTTGGGGATTGCAACTTCTAAAATTACCAGCAGTTGGCTTCCCAATGGATCTGGAGGGTACCAGATTGGGGAAGGCTGTGTTATCTCCAAGTCCGGGTTTAACTTTTAGCATATTTGTAAAAGGAGGAAGGGAGGAAGGGAGAAAAGGGAAAAAGAAAAGGTATATCACTATTCTAGGCTTAGGCTACACAATGTAGGAGCAGCTCTGCTGGCTCATTTGAAGGAGTAATCGGACTCATTGCCTTGTTTCCAGCGGTGGCCAGCCTGAGCCTCTGAGGTATTTATAGGCACAACAAAGAATACAGCAGCTCTTCCCTGCTTATCTCCAGTCTCTGGAACTTAGATGTATGCTGTAAAGGTTCACTGAGGTTCCATTTAACTGTCATGGCTAATGATAAATCACAAATTGATCCTTCATGAAGTAGCAATGAACCTGAAACTCATAAGTTGCCCAAAACAGTACTTCCTTTTTTCTGTTCCAATCCTCACAATGATTACTGGGTTCTATTCTGACTAATCTAACTGAAATCATCTAGTATTTTAAGTATAGGATGAAGTTACCTGTATATTTGGTCATAGCAACTTGTGCTGTTGGAATAGCATTCATCTGAAGGATGTTGTACTTATACAGTTCAGTATTCCTGTTCGTTTTATCTTGCAAGGTTGAGCACACCCAGTAGGCATAGCCTTTTGCACCTTCCGTCTGTTAGAGAAGAACTGGAATTAACAACTGCTCAGCTAGGAAATCAAGTGTTTTATTGTTACTTAAGCATATACCCAAGAGTTAACCACCTAGTTGATTTAGCTAAACTCACAAATATATTGAGGGTACAGATCAAACAAAAATTACAGTTCTGTTTCAGAAGTGCCATATAATACATCTGATTAAAGCAGCCCTTGGGTTGTTTACTACAGCTGTAAAGTGCTTACATGCATGCTGAGTTCAGTGGTGTGCCTGAATAGATCCATTGTTTCATAGCTCCCTACAGTTTCTGCAACAAGGGCCTACCAAGAGAAAAAAGATAAAATTAAAAATTCAGATCTGATCTGACAGTACGTCCCTCAAGCACAGCCTGTTTATTCCTCACTACAGATTGATTAATAAGAAGTTAAATTCAGGTAGCAAAATGTTATTGAATCCAGCTAGTTTCATTCACATCTGCAGAACTAACTCCAATCTTAAGTGAGGACTTCCCTAATCTCTGAAAAAATAACCAGAGGCATTAAATGCCTCAACATAAAATGAAAATGCCACTAAATTTAGTCACTTCTGAAGGTCCCAGCATATAAAAATCAACCACTACAAGAAAAGCAACTGTCTTGAATTTGAATGAAAAATATTCTATCTATATTAAATTTAAGGATAAGACAGGGTTTCCCTCCCCCTCTCTCCCTACCTAACTACCCACCCACCCACCCACAAAAGTCAAATATTGGCAATTTGATTTTCAATAGAAACTGTATTAGACATATACTGTTTAATTGCTAATACTACTGCTACATAAATATGTATCTGAAAGAGTTAGAGATTAGACCCTACCTGCCCAATCCAACAGGTTAGATGGGAGGGTTCCAGAGATTGGGCTACTTTGAAAGCTTCATGTGCTTGCTGGAAGAGTACATAAAATCAACACAGAATTATTAAATTGGATGAAAAGGATTAAATATGTATTAAATAACTATAGAAAATATTATACATGCATGATTTTCCCACTCACAGGCTTGATCCAAACTTCCAGGCTACTACACCTGGACTGCAAAGTTTCAGATCACTACTAGTTGGCAATGACTAGCACACAGCACCAACAGCCGCCACCTTCGCCTGGGCAGCCGCCACCTGCACCGCCACCCTGCCTCCTCCCTTATCAGGCTTGGTGAGCTTCCTTTGGCAGACAAGGCTCCGCCGCCCTGCTGCACGCATCCTAGGGCCATGCCCTCACCCAGAGCCTGGGTCCTGGGCCAACAGCAGGAGGAAGAAGATGATGAAAGTCAGCTGGGGGCAGCAGGAGTAGGCAGTGGCAGAGTGCAGGGTGGCCAAAAGGGCAGAGATTTGGGGGGACATAGGTGGGTGAGGAAATTGAAGTAGAGGCGAGTGCGGCAGGGCAGTGGAGCCTCGTCTGCTGAAGGTAGCTCACCAGGTCCAGCTGGGGATGGAGCCAGCAGTTCGCGCAGGGCAGAAGTGTGAGGTCCTCGCCGGATGACTGCAACCAAGACTACCAGAGCTGTCAACACTAAGTGACGCGGTCACGTGATGTTTTGCCTAATGACCACTTTGCTTAGCAACAGAAATTCCAGGCCCAATACTACCTATATGCTCTTCTATTCTATATTTATAAATACAGTGTTAAATACATTTCTTTTGTTTTTGTTGCTGAAGCCTCTCAGCAGTTTCTGAGAAACAATCATGCAAGAGACCTAATTGTAGCAAGAAGTGCTCAATGATTTTGTTCATCACCCAAAATGTATATATATAAATAAGTAAATAGTGCCAGTATGAGATACCAGTTCAGGTGTTGGACTTGGGAGATCCAGTTTCAAGTCTATCTTCGTCATGATTGACTTATGGCCAGTCATCCTCTCTCATCCTAACCTACCTCACAGAACTATTGTTGGTATAAAAGAAGGGAGACCTCAATGTAAGCTGCCTTGAGCTTCTAGAGGAAAGATGGACTATAACTATAATAAATATTGGTCAGCACTCAGATTGTATGTATTAATATTTAAGTGCTCCAGTAAGTTATTCTAATGAGAGTGTAACATTTTACATTGTTTCATTACTGGTTGTATATCACCTACTTCCTGGTACTTAATCATTTTGATGAAGATAATGTTCAGAAGCATCCACATATAGACACGCATGCACTTACCTCTATTTTTCCACTTGTTAAATACAAAACTCCCAGATTGGTCCAGGCAACAACGTTCTAAACAAAAGAAAAGGTTTTTACAAAGATGAATTGAATATTCTTGTAGTCAGCTTTGAAACAGATACAGCTACCAAGAGTACTTACAATTTGATCAGCTTGAATAGATTGAATGAATGCATGTTGTGCAAGAGCATAGTTTCCAACACCTAAAAAATATAGATTTGGCTATAACATCCTCTGTGGTAGATAAAATTTTAAATTGTGAAAAAAGGAAAATTTTACAGGTTTACATTAAAATTACCTTTGTAACAGGCTACCACACCAAGGGCATTCCAGTAGAGATGGTTTTTACTGTCTAATCTCACTGCTTTTTTCAGACACTGAAAAAAACCGAGAACTCAGTATTGTAATCCAACACCATGTTAAATGTTATATACTGTGCTAAGGAATGCTGTACTTAATCTACAGTTTAGATATGCTAGAAAAGCAGTAGGCTTAATATTGTATATTATATTGAAGAGATTACCTGCATGGATCTCTCTAAAAGTTCACTGATTTCATTCTTGTTACTGCCCATTGCTGCAAGATGCTGTACTTGATTATAATAATTTATTCCAAGATCATACCATGTATTTGGCGAAGACATCAGTTTTAGTCCTCTACCATAACATCTGTGGAAACGTGGATCATCCACGGAAGAGAATTACTTGCATTAGCAAAACTGATGGAAGTGGAATTATATTCTTAAGGGTGCTTTCAAGGGTTGTTACAAAACTTTCCTATCTGATAGCAACACTGCTCAGTGCAAACAGAGATAGGCAATGAAAAATCTGAACAGATTTTAATCTTGTGGCAATACTGCAATGAAATAGAGGACAATTTTGCTACCAAAGAATCTGAGATCTTGCATTCAATTCTAATAAAATCAGAACTGTAGCCAATTTTTCAGCTACAGTTCAAACCATATATTTCTTTTCCAACTAGATTTGTCCCAACTTACTTTCTTGTATTCCATGATTTTTTTTCCTCCACTTTCCCTGACTACAGCTATACTGGTTATTGGCCATATTCATTCTTAACCCTTTACATATCAAACCATTTAGCATAACAATTTTTGCCCCATTCCTCAGTGTGAGAGAGATTTATTTACTACATTTATAACCCACCTTTCCATTTACATAAGCACTCAAGGAGCTTACCAAAATCAAAACACACACAAAACATAATACAATCAATGAAGTTAAGAACTACTAACAATTCATCGTTAATTAACAATCTCTTAGTAAAAAAGATGCACTTTTGCCATTTTCCCAAATATTGAGAGAGTGGGAGGCAAATGCACCTCCCAAGGAAAAGCATTCCATAGTCTGGAAAGTCCTCTCCTATATATCAGATAACAAAACTTCTGGAAATGGGGGCATCTTCAGAAGGCTCCTCTTGTTGATCAAAGTGACTGGACAGGTTCAGAGAAGAAAAAGCAATCCCTCAGACACTCAAGCAAACCCAGACTTGTAGAATTATGGAAGGTCCATTACCTTCCCCCAAGACTGAGCAGATCACTTTTTTGGAGCACACATTTTTCCATGTTCTGACCAATAAGGAATCCTAAAACTTTCACATTCACTTTGGATGGTGAAATAACACATACACAGTTACAGGCATCTCCAAGCAACTTCCAAAGGCAGGATATTTCTGGACGATATTTTGCTGCCCTGAAAGATAGAAAGAAATTATTAGAAATAGAGTTCACCATGAGCAGAAAGCATTAGGCTTCAACAGAGTTCTCAAGTGGAAGGAAATTAATCTTCTCCAATTCCCCCTTCCCACTGCAGCCTCTATTTTATTTTCATGCTGTTCTCACCAGTTTCATAGCCTTCTAGAGTAACTTCTAAGAAGGCAAACTAGATGTACAGGTAGTCCTCACTTAATGATGCTAATTGGGACTAGATGAGGTCATAAGTTGAAAAACTAAGTTACTGTGCCGCTTACCAACAGCAGTTCCAGCAGTCCCAGTTGCTGTCGTTATGCAAGGACCATGTGGGTCATTAAGTTGTGACTGTGATTTGCAACTTCCTGTTGGCTTCCCCATTGACTTTGCTTGTCAGAAGCCAGCAGGGAAGGTCACAAATCACGATCACAGGACTTCTGGATGCTGCCATGGTTGGAAGTGTGGGCTGGTTGCTAAATGCCTGAAACATGATCACATGACTGTGGGGGCACTGCAATAGCCTCAACTTCAAGGACCAGTCACAAGTACCACTCATTCAGCAGCATTGTAACTTTGAATGGCCCCTGAACAAGTGATCGTTAAATGAGGACCACCTGTATGTCCAAGGAAGACTTCATAGATAGAGTTCCCATTCTTGTCTTTTGGCACAGAATGGGATTATATTAAGGGCTATTTTAGTTCCAAGTTTTTCTCTACCACTTTTTTAAACAAAGTGAAAAATAATATATGAATTTATAAGTATATTGTAAATAAATCAACTATACTCTACTAATACACTATCACCTCACAAATGTACAACCCAAAGAACTCCTTTTTTCTTATAAGATTAACATCAGAACCATGTTAGATCAGACCAAACGTGAGAGCTACTCCTCACACTGATAGGAATGAGTTATCAAAACAGTGAACCATTGCAGACTATGTCTCCATTATAAAAGAGGCAAGTTTCCAGGCCTGTATGTGGAAAAAGCAGGGGTAAATGGAGAAGAGTTTTGCCACCCTACATTGCCTATATATAGGTGTTCCATTTAAAAATAGGCTACTTGCTGGAATTCTTATGTTGTAATTTTAACATTCCTTCTAATAAATACTATTAACCAAAGCTCATAGATTCTAGTTCCTTGAATTAACTATTTCTGTCCTAGACTGCAAGAATAGAGTCCAATATCATAGGCCTATCTGCAGCTACACCTAAAATAAAATCTCAATTTAAATGACACCCCAATTTAGAACACTTTGGACATAACAGACCAAACGTTCATCTGGATATCCACCCAAAATAACAGTCCACTGCATTTCAGACAGTTAAATTTATGTTGATTTTACAACATCTGTTAAAAAAAACTATATCTGGCATTTGTTTATCTTTGGTCTGATGGCACATTTGTTATTCATTTAGATTTATTACATAGTAATAAATTCTGCAACTTCTTTTCAACTTACTGTTATTTATTCATATATACACCAATTTGGTCCAAAATATTTTTAAACATCATGTTTCTTTGCCTAAGTAGATAAAATAACCTAGGGAATTAATCACCCTCAGGTATTGTTTTTGTTCTTATTCATTATCTAACAGATTGTTTGGGGGTTGTCCTTTCGTTGGATCAAGACATTAATGGCACTTTAGTTTGTAATGCAAGTAACATTAATGTGAGTGACCTTACAGGCTTTGAGCTGAAGCATGAATTTCATCTTTTTTTTTTTTTACGAAGAATATATAATATTTTAATTTTAACAACAACATTGTCTGGATATATTTTAATTAATCTTGTTTAGATTATTCATCCTAAATGTTATACTGTTACGGTTAACAGACAGCAATTAAAAGGAGGCCAGAAAACATTATTTGAGGGTTGGATGAAATGCACGTTTTCCAGGAAAATTATGTACTGCATTTGTGTTTGTGTGTGTGTGTGTGTGCATGCACACATGCTTTCAAGTCAGTGTTGAGTCCTGATGACTGTCTGGACTAGTCCCTGCAGTTTTCTTGGCAAGATTTTTGGAAGTGGTTTGCCACTGCCTCTTTCCTAGGACTGAGAAAGTGTGTCTGGCCCAAGATCACCCAGCTGGCTTTGTAACTAACATGGGACTACAGGTAGCAACCTCAACTGGGACCCGCAACTTGGTTGTTAAGCGAAGCACTTGCTAAGTGAAACCACAACTGTGCTTAAGATCTTACTTCAGTTTTCTGTTACTTTACAGACCTGCGAAGATCAAAAATTTGAGGATTGGTCACAAACTTACTTTTTCATCACTGTTGTAACTGAAAATGAGGCAGTCACTAAATGAGGACTACCTGTAGAATGCATGGTCTCCTGGTTTCTAGCCTGATGCCTTAACTGCTACACCAAATTGGCTTTATTGGTTCTACTGTTCATTCAAACCAAATTGGTTCTACTGTTTCTTAACATAAATGCAAGCCATATATTATAGCTATTAAAACAAATGCCATTATCAGTTTCCTCCTACTCCTTACAACTTCCAAATTTTCAAACATATGAGTGTCTGTTTGGCTACTTTTCCTTCGAAGCCTTAGTGGCAAGGGTGAGAATCTTGGAAACTCTAAGCACTAGAGATTGGAGTTGATCCTTTTTCTGATGAACATGACTTATTGCTCTGACTTTGGCTTCTCCTTATGAAACAATATATAGTCAATCTCCAGGTGACCTATTCCTGGTCAGTTTGATACAGTTCTTATTTTGGGTTTGGTTCCTTAGGTTAGTTTAAAGCCTTTAATCTTTCGGCTATCTCTGTCTTTTGCTTCTTTTGCTCGTGGCTTGGCTTATATACACTTTCTTTGTTTTGTTTGGGCTATTTTAATATAGGTTTAGGGATCTGTAACATTTTTGTTTTTCTTTACCCCTTGTGGTTGGCAGCCCACAAGCCTAATAGTTAAAGATTAAACGCTTGTGATCACTGCCCACATGTTCTTGTGGTCTAGGCTCATATCCTGGGTATCTCCTGGTTTCAGTTTTTAACTGTCAAGTTAAACTTCTAGTGCTGTTTTCATTTTATCAAATATGCATAGAAAGCTCTGTATCATCCAGCTCAGGTAATTCTTTGTATTTTGTTCCATATCTGTTTCAATTCATTAATTCTTTCTATAACTTGCACCTCTAGAATACACCTATACTTCTTTGTTACCTCTTGTTTTAACAAAGGACAAAGGAGTTCTTATATAGCCAACAAGAATCTACAATAATCTACAATAAAATGTACTAATAAGGACATTTCTGAATTTATGGCCCCTCACCTCTTTCTTATGGATGATCACAATGTGGCAATGCTCATGATCTATTTGAAAATAATAATAGGTATGATTAAGTCTGAAGATATACAAAAAGTGAATTCTTCTTTCTGATGAACAGAATACATTCACCCAAAGAAGACACTGGAAGGTTTTACTTCCCACCTAGGTAATAACCAGTATGTTAGCAAACATGGAAGATTTTAAGCTAAGCTAAGGAACAAAATGCAAAGAAAGGTCATAAAGCTATATCCTACTGACAACCAATGTGGTTATCTGGAGACTCATATGGAGAGATCAAAGTCAAGAGAAGCAAGTAAACATAGTCATGTTCCTCAATACCATACAATGCAATAATTTCTTGATTAGACAACTGACTGTATTAAGGATGTTCATCAGAAAGTGGATCATAACTCACTAAGGCCATGAGTTTCCAGCAGTTAGTTTGATTAAAAGTCAACAGATTGAATCCAGAGCTTTTATTCTGTTGGTGGTAGCATCCAAGCAATGTAAGAGAGGTCCATTTAGAATATCTCTAATCAAGCAAAGTAGGAGAGACCCCTGTTTGGTCCCTTCCACACTGTAGCCTCCTGATTTTTTCCACTGAGCTGAGGAAAAACTTGGTTGCATTTTATATTTGTGGGAGTTAGGGTTGATAGGCTGCAATCCATTTCCTGAAAAAAAAGAGTATATTTCACGTCAACAATGGAGAATTACTTTATAAAAATACTAACCGTGCCAAAAAATCAAGGGACTGTTCTATATAGTCCAAAGCTTTCCCATCCAGATAGTCAGCAAGAGCAGACTTTGCCATCATGAGATAACACTCTCCCAAACCTGTTATTTTTTAAAAAAAGCAAGCTCATTAAGATATGATAATCCTACAACAAACATAAATTAAGAACAAAGTATCAAATGCTAGAAAAACATTTCATATGGCTATTAATTAAAATAAATTCTTGGGTGCATAGGAACAGAAATGTGGCAGTCAATAATTAAATACATAAAAGAAATAGAGGGGGAAGAAATATCTTCAACTTTTTTTTTTAATTTCCTATTTGAAATACAGAAGGAGACAAAAGGAATTATTATTTTGGTGGGTAGGGGTTAGATGAAACATTTAATAAGTGATTTTACCAGCAATTGGCACATGTTTAGGTGACTCAACAATTCCTTGCATAATTAAGGGAATTTTAAAAACAACAATATTCTCATGTTTCAAGAACCAAATAGCTATTCCTGCAATTTTTGAAAAATTACATATTTTATTAAGTTTATAAATGGCTATTCAAAGGGAGTGGAGGCACTGATATATGTTAAGTGGAAAATTATACTGAAATAACAGCTTAGTAATAAATATATTGCGCATGTTCCTATACCTAAAATATATAATTACCTTTCAGTGCAGGGACATAATCTTTTGATTTCTCCAAAATATGCTGATATTCTGCAATAGCCTCTTTATATTTTCCAAGAATTTGCTCAATTGCAGCAGCCTTATAAATACTATATATAGACTTGGGGTTGAGTTCTCTTGCCTTTCGGAATGACTTCAGTGCTGTTGTGTAGCCTCCTCGACTCAGATATGCCTCTCCTAGAGATTCCCAACAATTGGGGTCCTTTGGATCTGCTCGCAGAGCTGCCTGCAAACTAGACACATTGAAAACCCAGCAATGAGTTCATAAACCATCTTCTATTCAAGTATTTTTTAAAAAATGTTTTATTTATAATACCCACACTGAGACTTTGCTAAAAGCAAATGGAGCACCAAATAAAAATTTCCACATTTGTAATGTTACATGTTATTTAAAAATAATTTATAGACCATTTGTTGAGACAAACCAAAACCAAAATCCTATGATGGTATATCTGCAAAAACTAACAAAAAGTAACTGATTATTTGGGCTATCCTTTATTTAAAGCACAGCTAACAGTTAATTTTAGAAGACAATCAGTCAAAAATCACCATGGGTTCATTTCATTTGGACTCATGCAGGATCCCAGTACAAACTTCTTTGTAGCAAATAGACAAGACTGAACTGTCAAAACTTAATTTAGATGACAAACTTATTATTACATTTATTTCCATATTCTTTTTAAAAACTTCAAGATTGCACACATAATTTCTTCCCACTTTCTATTATCTTAACAAACACTCTGGGGTTCAGATTATGCTCACAGATGCAACTACCCGAAGAGAAGTAGCAGAGAGCTAGCAATAGGATGATGTTGGTAAGATATAGGATGGCTTTGGTTGCTTCTGAGTGGCCATGCCAAATTTTAACATACTTAGATCAATAACATCCTCTAATATCTAGAAGCACCATATGAGATAGGGTAAGAATTTTTTCAGCCCTTGGTGAACTGCTCCATAATATTCCATCAGTACAAGACAAAGGAGTGCAAAGTTTTACATAAAAGCAAAAGGAAAGACTTCTAATGTTTACTGCAATCCAGCCCCAAATAGCAATATTCACAGAGAGAAAGTAAGTTTGCTTTTTTAAAAAAGAAACGTGTACAGACATCATCAGACCATCAATTAAGCTTGCCTTCTGAATAAAATAATGAATGCAATTTGTAAGTTTTCTTACTCCGCCACTGCTTGTGAATGTTGTCCCACTTTTAGATAATAAAGTCCTCGGCGAAGCCAGGCCCATTTTGCTCTCCCAGCATTTGCTTGTTCTGTTACCTCTGTCAAGATGGCAAGGGCAGTTTCCTAACACACAAGCAAAATATTATGAACAATTTGTTATGATACATATAATTGCAAAAGACAGAACAAACATAGTTTCTTACGATTCCTACTGTAGAATTAAAGGCAAACCCCAAAGATTTCATTCGTGAGCACTGCACAAAGCTCAAGCCTATCTAGAAACGATGCTCCTCTGAACCGGAAGAAGGGCTGGCTTTAATTTCAAACTAATGCTCAAAAATATTGTTAAGTTCAAAAGTGCTAGCATTTCCCAACATGCAGGTCATAGTAATTCTTTGCTACATTCATACCTATTATGTATCCAGCATTACTAATCCATATGCCATGTTACTAATAGATATGCCGACAGCGACCACAATTTGGCTTCAAGGAATAGGGAAATAAAGCTGGCTTTTCCAGTTTTTGTCAAATTGTTATAATATCAAAGAGGAATTGCTATGCCTTCCATTGCTATCAAAATTATGACAGTTAAAAATGTTCATCCAGATAGCTCCCTCTATTGGCTGAAAAATAACAATTGAAATGCCAGGTAAAAGGAAAAAAAACCCTAAATCTTATATATTTGCCTGCTTGCAAGTTTGGCTGTAACAGCAACAACATAACGCAAAGGCCAAATATCACACAGAGAACCTCCCCCACAAATGGCCAGTTTTTCTATAAACTGTTCACATAGCCTATTACCTGTGCTATTTTAATGTGTATTAAATAATATTTAAATCCACAGCAGGAGCAAATTTAGAAAAAACGAGTAAAGGAAGTAAATGGGGTGGCAGAATCAATCTGGGTGAGTAAAAGTGTGATATAATCTATCACTGCATCTCAAAGACAAAATAGCAAACAAAGTAGAAGGAAATGCTGTGGAAAGTGCCTGCCATTCCTCTGAGTCAACCCTAACACATATAAACTTGTATCTTTGTATATTTTTGTATATTTCTGATTGTTGTACCCCGATGTCTGTACATTCTGAAATCACACGAATTTGTGAGAAACATTTGGGGATGTGGAGAAGCAATTTGGAAGCTCTGAAGTAAATTTCTTTACTTGTAAACTTTGTAATTTTCCTTCACAGCAAGACATCTAAATATTTTTGAAACCTTTTTATACAGATTATTACAGCTTTTCTGATTACTCTGATACATTAAAAAGTGCAAATGAGATATACAGTACCAAGTCTCCAAGCTCAGTGCTCAAGTCTACTACGGCTGCTCCAGTAACGCCATCTGTTTTATCTCTTTCAAAAGCCTTTTTATAGCAGCCAAGAGCTCTGTTTTTATCTCCAGCTACATCTCTGTAATATTGACCTAAATAATGGAAAGCATCTCCCAGGAAATTGTCCAGTTTTGCTGCCTATTAAACAAATATCAGAATATTACCATTCATTATTTGCATTAAGAACAGTTTTGATACATACGATAAAAATGTAAACGAAATATGTCAAATGGTACCTTTTGTACCAATGTAATCCAAAACACAAATACAATGAATTTTGGTTACAGGAACTTGGATAATTGAGGAAGCACCTTCTCCCACATGAAACTATCTACATATTAGGATAATTATTGGAGACCTTCCTCATAGTACTCTCACTCATATGATAAGGTAGATGACGAGAAAGTGGGTTTTCTTGGTTGAAAATGGTTCTTAAAATTACTCTTTTCTTTAAAAACTTATTTTTTATTCTGGAACTGAGATTTTACTTTTTAAAACTAATCCGCTATTTTTATATCACAATTCCATTAATATGCTCGTGATATTTTTAATGATACTTTGGGAGTAGCAAAGCTGAAGGGTTGTATATATAAAACTTCTAATGTATAGGGCTGATAGGCAAAAACAAGCTTAGTTTAAACCCTACAAAGACAGAACTGCTGTTCATTCATAAGCATCTGGATGATCTGGAAACATCAACCCCTGTGGTAGTTCTTGATAGGGTGATGCTCCCCTAAAGTGCTAGGGGTCCTCTTGGACTTTCAGCTCCTGTTTGAACAGCAGGTGGAAGCTATAGGCAGGTTTTTGTGACAGTTATACTCTACCTTACCAAGAAACCCTTCCAACAGAGCCTAATCACCATGCAACTAGATTACTACAATATGATCTACGTGGGGCTGCCTTTGAAGATGACTATGAAGCTGCAACTCTGCAAAATACAGCAGCTAGGCTGCTAGTTGGGGAAACTCAATACTGCAAAATTACATCACTCTTGAAGATGCAGCACTGGCTTACCAGTAGTCTTCCAGACCCATTTCAGAGAGCTGGTTATCATCTATAAAGCCCTACATGGCATAATGCTGGGATATTATCAGGGACTCCCTTCTCAAGCATGCTTCTGCTCATCTGTTCTGAAAGCTTTGGTCCTAAGGTGTATGGAGTATAAGTTAGGTTCAGCCCTTCACTGTAACAGCCCCCACACTTTAATGCATGCTCGGCCCCAACCTTCTTCTCATTCCAGAAGGCCCTGAAGACTTATTTCAACAGATTTTTAGTTTTATGATCAAGACTATTTTATTGGGGTTGGAATATTATGGTTTTTTGTTTTTCGTTGTTCACCAATATCTTGTGATTTGGGTGGTACAAAATAATAAATAAGCAAACAAACAAATTAAATAAAAAAGGGTCCAAAACAGCAAACCATTCTGATCCACCCTTCCTTAATTATATTGTTCTTCAAACCTGTCAAAGTACATCTCTTATGAGTAGCCATTGGATTACACTCTTTGTTCTAAAAGAAAATCTGAATACATTTTATTTTGTATTTCCATCATTTTAAAGTTGTGGGACCAGGACTAGTTTCTTCTTGCTCACGTTGCTTCCTAAAGCATCCATTTTATCACAGGCATTATAACACTTTTTCTAAGACTCTACATCTGTAGACCAAGAATTTTACTCCCAAACCCAAAGTTATTTACAGTACAAAGTTGACAACTAGCTTATCCCTCTTTACCAGGTTCAAATTAGGGTGAGATATGCTAACAAAAAAATTGCCAGTTCTATCACTCCTGGGATTCTTGCATGTACCCTCTTCAGTGATGCCCAAACTCCCAACCTCACTGAAGAGAAGCACACTGCTGTGACCCGATAAGAGAAAGGAAATGGCCTCTTGTTCCTCTCCCAGTGCTCTGAGTTTTCCTGCTGAGTAATCTAAGTTGCTTACTCTTACAGACAATATTCACAGGGTTTGAGAAAGGAAAATAATTACTAATCATGTGAAGTAGTAAGTGATCCCACTTATATTTTACCTTCAGAAACTGAGTGAGGGCTTTTGATTTATCTTTTCTTGTCTCTTCATTCATAAACCAGTAAGTGAGGCCCAGCCGGAAATGGAATTCAGCTTTTTCAGCTTCTTTTGCTATAGCTCTTTGGAAACTAAGAAAAACACTTATGTAAATATTTAGGTTATCATGTGCCCCTTCCTCCAAACCCCCATGAATGAATATGAATCTACCTCATTTCTGCCTGATGATACTTCTTTTGCCTATAATGAATCAACCCTTCAAGATAGTGGGCTTCTGCCAGGTCTGGATGTGCCAGCTTAAGTTCTTGTGCAATCTGTAGCACAATGTAAAATTCTCAGTGTTGAATGCACCAATGTCATATTTTAAATAAAAGGTGGACTTACTAAAAGGGAAAGACACTAACCTTCAAAGCTTCATCAGTAAGGTCTTTCTTTAGATAGGCCTGTCCTTTAAGAGCTATAAGTTTTGGATCATTGTTTCTATCCAAGATCTAGGAACCAGAAATACATTGAAAATCTCAAAGTTCAGAAAACTAAAGCCATATCACAGATTGCTATATATTGATTGACTGATTATGTGCCATCGAGTCGTTTTTGACTCCTAGTGATCACATGGATAGATTTTCTCCATGACGATCTATTTCTAACCTGTTCTTTCAGGTCTCCCAACGGTGCACTCATCGCCATTTTAACTGAGTCCATACGAAATCTCTTACATAATAACACTGACACTTCCAAAATACTACACTGGTTTTTTCACTCTGAATAGATTACGCAATTTGAGAATATTTGTTTCAACAGAGTTTACATAACATTTCAGCAAACTGCATAAAGCTTGTAACATTTAACTTACTACATAGAAAACCTTTCAAAAGTAAATCGCTTCCTAGCATTGGGGTGGGGGTGGGCAATGAGGACAGGAGAACCAAGTCCTAGTACCTAGTCACATCAGAAGAAAATTACCCATGGGCATGTATGGAAAGATTTCTTCTCTTGTGAATAGGAGATCTGAGATCTCAAATCTGATGGGAACCATATCAATGGATATCATTATCATTAAAGTCTCCTAGCCTCTACAACAAGGTTGTGATTAAGTGTTGCATCCTTATTTCATTTCTAAAAAACTATTCATATATCCAATAATCATGTGGATACCATTTGTGGGATCTCCCCTCTCCCATTGTCTCTGCTCAGCTCACCAGATCTATCATGGTCAAGGAGGGAGGGAGGGAGGGAGATTTTTGACACTCCCTGCCAGATTTCCACAAGCAAAGTCAACGGGGAAGCCGGCAGCAAGTCATAAGTTGCTCACACTCCCACTGCTTTTTTGCCCTTGGTCATTCTGCTTCTCTATTTAGGTAAGGAAATATCTCTGAAATGATGACCCAACGGGTCACGAGTTGTCTAGTATTTTTTTAAGCTGACACCAGACTTTATTAATGAAAGCAATTTTTAAGCTGTTCACATACCTGATTGAGGGAAGATATGGCTTCATCAGCAGAGTTAGCACTTGGAATTTTAATGAAGGCCTTTGCTCTGAAATGGTGGGCAATATTTTTCTGTTGCTGAATGAAACTTGCGTTATTAAGTTGTTCTAGAATCTTTAAAGCTGTAAATAAGTAAAGTGTTCAAGTTTTATATTTTATGTATAATCACTGCCACTTCATAGGCTTAAAAAAGTTTTAAAATTTCATATTTCTAGCTGGATAGGACACCAGTGATAAGCTCCACAATTTTGTGGCATAAAAAACAACGTATGCCTTAATATATTTATGTTTACCATATTAAGAAATTTCAGGAAAAAAATTACTTATATATCTGAAATCTATATTAGTATTTTTTAATATGTAGCATATTCCAATAAGCCAATTCTTTCTAGAATCAAGGGAGTCTGAAATAATATTCACAATGCAAATAAATATACTAAAAAAAACTGCAAGTGCCCAGTACTGTAAGAACTGTAACAGCTATTAGGCATTTTATGTTATTAATACTAACATTGTGAAACTATTTTTCAGACTTCTATCTCAAAAAAAATTCCACTTTTTCTCAAAACTGGCTTGGAAACCTCTTTATTAAAATTGTTCCTGACTGCTAAATATTAGGGTAAGATCTGCAATTCATGTTTCCACTGGGTTTTGAAAGTATTGTTTTATTACTTTCAGTGTTTTCTGACTACTTATAAAAATAATAATCGCATTGTGAAATGTTTTAGGAGAAAGCAGCCTATATTTTTATAAATACCATTTTATATTGCTCAACAATTACCTTGATTGCAAGAATGAACAGCTTCTTTGTATTTATGCATTTTCATTTGCACCTTCCCTAAGTAACACCATCCTACTGGACACTGGCTGGTCTGCTGCAAACCTGGCAGGAAAGTCTGATTTAACATATCACAAAGAAATAAAAACAGATGGTCCTTGCCATATGAATATTCAATTCATACACCAGAGAATTACTGTACCCAAAAGAACCTTGCATTTGTTGTTAAATATCCAAAAAATCAATACAACAATATTGGGCAAATTGGCCATTAAATGATTTTCATGATGATCAGGCTATCATTTAGCAGCAATTCCACTGGTTTGTAGCAGAAGGACAGAAGGGAAACATGGCAACCACCGGCTCAACTCAGAAAGATTAGGTCAAATTCAATTATGTCTGCCTAAGAGGCATGAGATATTTATAAATGGGATGCGATCCTACTTCAGTTCAATTATTAGAATACTTTACTGACCCAATTTCCTTCTTGTATCACTTACCTTCTGTAAGCTTTTTTTCAGCCTCATTGTAATTCCTTTCTTGGAGGGACTGAATCCCTAAAATGATAAGAGCTGGACCACTTCTTGAATCAATATCCAAAAGTTTCTGACAACAGCTGAGGGCCTCCTCAGTCAAGCTACCTAGTACACACACAGGAATTTTTATTTCACTTTTTAAAATCTGACAGGACTAAAACATACCACATAATTTTCCATTTTCTTTTTCCTGGGCTTCTCTTTTAAAAATATTTTATTTTCTAAAGCATACATGGAAAACTATTTCTAGGGCCTTTCCCCACCCCTTATACTGTATATACACTTAGGCAGATTAAAATGTGTAAATGCTGTCCTAGCCCAGATCAATCTTTGTAGTTAAATGCAACCTTTCAAACCTTCAAAGGATGTTATATAAGAATTTTTTTAGTCAATTCCACCTTGCAATCTCTTGAATAGCATAATGTAGCACAGCTGAACATTTTCAACATATGTGATAAGAACACAGCACATTCTACAATGGAAGGTACAAGAGTAGGAAAACGAACAAACTCATAAATAAAAATTAATATAAAATTAAGAAGCTACTCAAATTACCTGACTGAATGAAGTGTAAGCAAAGAACTTCCAGGGGATAACTTGCAGCAGGATAGAAAATCATCATTTCTTTACAGGCCTTCTTCATTCTAGAAGTCTCATGAGGAAACTTTTAATAGGAATAGAAAAACAATTAGCAAAATTGTAAACCGCCCAGAGTCACTTCCTCGTGAGATGGGCGGTGTCCAAATTAGAAGTATCAATAAATAAATAAATAGGTAAGTGGTCAACATGCACTTTTACATTTCAACAGTATCCTTACTTTTGACAAACTCTGAAGGAATTCTCTGTAAAGTTTTTTGTGCTCTTCACTTGGAACTGGTTCTAAAGAATTGACTGCCTCTTCAAATGCATTAAGGAACTGAAAAAACAATATAGTCATCGTAAGATGAAACAACAGAGCCAAAAACTAGCAAGCTTTTAACTAATGATGACATAGTGAGACTAAGTTCATATTCAGCCCTAATGAGATTTATTTGGGCTTAGTGGATCATGCAAGCCCACCCATTATAACTTTTCATCATGTTCCACTATGGCTTATTCCATATCCCAACTTAGTGTTATGTATGCCTAACACCTGAAAATCATTTAACCCTATTTCAACAATAGCTAAGAAAAAAAAATAAAGCCAAATAAGTACAGGTAGTTGTATTATTATTTCTGGCATTTTTTTTAGCATAAAGATACCCAAGGGTGGTAGATCTTCAAGGAGAAAGAAATGAAAGAGTTGTCAGTTATTTCTTCACCAACCATTCCTCTTCTCAAATTAATCCATTCCCATTCCCAATATCCACAGGGGGAAAGCAGCTTGGAGAAACCAAGTTTAAAAAAACAAGCAAGGAAATAGTTAGGATGCTCTTTTTCATTCCAAACCATCCAGCCAGCTTTCCCTCAAGAATTTCTTTAAGCAAACAGTGCTTTTCCTCTTCTCCCTATGTTTATCCTTAACCAGGTTTAGCCAGCATTGCCAATGGTGACAAATAATACCATCTGCAGTGCAACAACATTTTGAGGTCCACATGTTGCCACCCCTGCTTTAAAGAAAACTATCAGGAATCATAAACAGAAGTGTATTCATTTTACTTTATTTATAAAATTTCTATTTTCTTTTTCATCATTAAAAACAACTTAAAACAAACTATTAATACATTAATGATTACAATAATAGTAATAAATTAATTCAACAAAACATGTTAAAAAGTTAAAAACAATTTTAAAATATTTTTTTACATTTAATTCAAGCAAGATAAACAGAAACGTAGCTCAGTTTAGACAATCTGACAGTGGATGAAGGAAGTTGACACACTAGCAGGTTCCTTATCTACAGGTTGGAGGCCTTACTTCCTGTTAGCTACTAAACTAGCATGGCAGAGATATGTGTCAATCAGTTCAACACAGATTAAGCTATCATCTGAATTTACCTCATGTTTCTAGTAGGCCTCCTGTTAACTTCTGGAGGAAAAAGGGGCATGTACATATTTGCATGTATACATTAATCTATCATCAGATTGAACCCTGGTTCAAGCAACAACACAAACAAATCTCAAACAGACCCCTCTATGGTTTGCTAGCAGCAGTCTCCTGCAAGATGAGCTAGTCAGTGGATTTACTAGTAAGTCAGAATTCAGAACAGTAGTCATTTATGGTGTTATTCAAGCTGTCTACTTCCTATTGGTAAAATGAAAATTCTGAACTGTCCTTCCAGGCTGAACTGCATTTTTATAAATGTCAAGGGTTCAAAAACAGTAAATGTTATGTCTGAACCTAAGGGACAGTTCAATTGCTTACCAATTGCTCTATTTCATTATCTTTAAGATGTATGCCCTCTTCTAGCAACTGGACTAATCTCTTCCAAAGTTGATGAAGTTCAGCATTGTCTGCACCTCCTTCTCTTCTTATTTTTATTAGTTTGTGCCAACTTCGAGCCACCTATCAAGAAAATCAGTCAAATGTCAACAGCTTCTCAATATGTCAGCATCTAATCAAAGCCAGGTGATCTGAAGTTAAGCAGGATTGGCCTGGTTAGTACTTGAATTAGGGACCATCTGGGAATGGGGAGTTGGGGGTGAGCGGCACAGTTTTGTGCTGGTTCTCTTCCTTCCTCCAAGGTCATCCCAATTGGTGTTGATTGGGGGTGAGAGGTCCAGCTCGTGGCCCCCCCTTTGTGGGGTGCCCCAGGGTTCGGAACTCTCCGCTCCTTTTTAACATCTACATGAAACCACTGGGTGAGATCATCCATCACCGTGGGATGAGGTATCATCAATATGCTGATGATACGCAGTTATACATCTCCATCCTGGGTGAGGTGAGTGATGCCTGGAGGCTGTGAGGGTCTGGATGGGGTGCAACAGGCTTCAGCTGAACCCTGGTAAGGCAGAGTGGCTATGGATTGGAGGCCCCTCTGGATCCAAGGATTTACCATCTTTGGTTTTGGATGGGGTTGCACTGCCTCGGACAGACCTGGTGCGTAATCTGGGGGTCCTCCTGGACTCACGACTCCTGCTCGAGGAGCAGGTGGCAGTCATGGCCAG